AATTATGGTGATGAGGATGAGGAGGAGGCAGGAGAGGAGATAGGCGAGAGGAGCAAGCGATATGAGAGTCGAAAGATAACGGAGAGGAGAAATACATGAGAGAGGGAGGGAGGAGAGGAGCATGCGGTATGAGAGGCGAAGGCTCGCGGCGAGGCGGGGGGGACGCACGGGATGGAAAGAGAGAGAGAGAGAGAGGGAGAGAGAGAGAGAGAGAAAGAGCCAATTGTTATATCTATAGAGAGAGGGAGCGATCTTGATGTACGCAAGATGCGCCAAGCTGGCCCCAGGCGTGGTTCGGACGCACCTAGCTCCCAGGTGTTCAAGACGCCTCTGGTCGTTCCGGATGGCGCCCTCGTCACTGCGCCCACCACCTCCTTGGTCGTCTAGAGCCACATGCATGCAACAAACCGCGCCGGCGCAACAGCGCAGCAGGAAGGAGGAGGATGAAGAGGAAGAGGAGGAGGATAGGAGGAGGATGAGGAGGAGGAGGAGAAGGAGGAGGAGGAGGAGGGAGGGAGGGAGGGAGGGGAGTCAGGGAGGGATGGAGACGGAGGAGAAGGAGGAGGATAGGATGAGAAGAAGGATGACTTGAATGCACGTTCCAGTTCAGCGCCCTGCCTGAACTGGCGCGGGCCTCCTTGTCCGCCGCAGCCTCGGTCTCCCCGCCCTGCTTTCGTCGTAGAGGCTTCCTGGGATCCTCCTTGGGGCCTCGTAGGGCTCTATTGGAGGCCTCCACAGTCAAGCCGCACAGTAAGGATGGGTAACCTTCCCAAGGGTACCCTTGGATCCTTCCCCTTCGGCCCATCCTTGGCCGCTTTCGCTGGCCGCGCCCCGCCCGCAGAGTGTCGACATGGCAATCCAAGGCCCTTGCATCCTTACCGCGTGCCCTTCTGATGCGGGTTGACTGTATGCGGCCCTTTGGGGGCTGGTAGGGGTAGGGGGAGGAGGGGGAGGAGGGGGAGAGGGGGAGGGAGGGGGAGGAGGGGAGGAGGTAAGGGGAGGAGGGGAGGAGGGGGAGGAGGGTGAGGAGGGGGGGGGAGGAGGGGGGGCTAAGGCAGCCGACACACCCTCCGGAGCCGCCGAATCTCAGACACCCCCGGCTGCTCCTGGTGCGGCAATGTCCCGGTCATGGCCTCGTCTCAGTTTTGGGCGCGATGGTTCTCTCCCAGGGAGGCTCAGTGGAGCCGTCCTCGTGAACTTCCTGCCGGGGCGTGGCACCGTCTGAGAGTCCTCTTTGGGACCGGCCTGGGTATGTTGGCCACGCGCAGAGGGGGGCAGGGGGCAGGGGTGAAGGCTTCTCAGAGGCACCCCTGCTTCTTAGAAGGCGCGGGCCGTGTTTGTAGACAAAAGGCACGCGCCTCCTGAAAAATGAGCCTCCTTCCAAGAAGCCTTCGCCCCCTCCTCCGAGCCCCCTCTGCGCGCCGCCACGTGTAGCGTGCTTCGCGCAGTCCTGGAGAAGAGAGGTATGAGGAGGAGGAGGAGGAGGAGGAGGAGGAGGAGGAGGAGGAGGAGGAGGAGGAGGAGGAGGAGGAGAGGAGAGGAGGAGGGAGGAGGAGGAGGAGGAGGAGGAGGAGAGGAGGAGGAAGAGGAGGAGGAGGAGGAAGAGGAGGAGGAGTGGAGGGAGTGGAGGAGGAGAGAGGAAGGAGAGGAGAAGGAGCAGGAGAGAGGAGGAGGAGGAGGAGGAGGAGGAGGAGGAGGAGGAGGAGGAGGAGGAGAGAAGGAGCAGAGAGGAGGAGCAGGAGGAGGAGCAGGAGGAGCAGGAGGAGGAGGAGGAGGAGGAGGAGGAGGAGGGGGAGGGAGGAGAGGAGGAGAGAGAGGAGAGAGGAGAGAGGAGAGAGGAGAGAGGAGAGAGGAGAGGAGGAGATGGAGGAGGAGAGAGGAGGAGGAGGAGGAGAGGAGGAGGGGGAGGAGGTACAGGGATGAGGGCCCGTGGACCCAGGCTCCTGGGGGGCCTCCGAGCACAGAGGCGGCTGAGCGCTCCCGGCGCGGGGTCGGAGCCCCGGGCCCAGGTCGTCGTGCCATACATCGCAGGCAGGAGCGGCACATGTCGCCGCGCCTCCTCCTCCTCCTCCTCCTCCTCCTCCTCCTCCTCCCTCCTCCTCCCCTCCCTCCTCCTCCTCACCTCCCCTCCTCCTCCTCCTCCTCCTCCTCCTCTCATCCTCCTTTTCCTCTTTTTTTTCCTTTCCTCCATTTCCTATTTTTCCTTGTCCTCCTCTCCTCCTCCTCCCCTCCTCCTCCTCCTCTTCCTCCTCGTCCTCCTGTTCCGTTCCTCTTCCTCCTCCTCTTCCTTCCGTCGCGCGGCCTTCCGTCTTGAGGAGGGCGCCGCGGCCACCTGTGCAAGCGCCGCCCCGGGCGCGGTGGGCTCGCCGCGGGGTTTGCCGCCGTGCCGGCGCCGTCCACTTGGGGTGCGGGGCGCAGGGCTTGCCGCGGGTCTGCCGTGGTGTCGGCGCCGTGCACTTGGGCGCGGCGAGAGCCAGCGGCGCGGCGACATAGGCATGATCTCTCGGAGCTCCGCGCGGACGTGTCGGATGTGCCGCTTTTCCGCCTCTTCTGGAGAGGATCGAGCGATGCACGCGGCGCCAGAGACCCGGGCCCGCGTCGTCGCGTCGGAAGCCCGCCGCGCTGGGACGAGAGGTCCGTGGCATCTCTCGCTACGACCGCACTCCCATTTCGGGTGTTGCTAGAAGTGCCCCTGGCCCAAGGTACCCCCAGCTTTTCGCTCGATTCTGGAGCCCCTGGGGCTCTCTGAGCCTCGTGAGGGGTGCCCTGGAGGCCGTGGCCGCCTCCTTCGAAATCCTGGGGGCACCTTGGGCCAGGGGCACTTCTAGCAACACCCGACCATTGGCTCCACGACCACTTCGACCGCTGTGGCTCTCTGTGCCCCCTGTCTCGTGCCTCATGCCGAGTCGTTGTGCGTGGTGCGCCCGTCGCATGATTATATTATAATGGTGCTCGATGTGCTTGAAGTTGCTGGGGTACGAGCTTTGCTGGGGATATGTGGGCGTCGTTCTTCTTCGTCGAAGCCGCATGGCAGGAGACGGATGGACGTGCAGACATGGAAAGCGCCAACGCGCGTTTGGGCTCAGCGGCGTGTTGGAGTCTTCGAGGTCTGCAGTCTGATTTGCATCCTGCCGGCAACGCTTGCTGGGCTATCGGGACGCACTCCTGGCTGGTCTTGCCCCACAGCCGGTCGGAGGAAGGGAGTGGTGCAGGGACGGATGGAGGACGGAGGAGGGCGTAGGACTTGGAGGGCTGCGGTGAGTGAGAACGGAGGGTAACGGAGGGGGGCACGTGCGCTTCTCTTGGATCCAGATCCTGGGGGCCATGGGCCCAGAGATCACCAAATCCTGGCCCCACTGCCCGCAGAATCTGGACTCCCGCAGCTTCAGACTTCTGCTGTCGGAAGAAGGGCCAGGCATTCACGAACACCTTTCTGCGGCTGCCTACGAGCCCTGCCCCCCTGCGGATCCCGCCGCCGGGGGTGCTATCGGACACCCCGCGCCCCGGCTGGGGTCAGTTTGGCTGCCGAGCTCCCTCAAGGTCTGAGCCTTCGCCGGCGTTTCTCATACATCCGGCCTGCAGGGGTCGGGTTCACATGTGGCTGCCGGTCTGTTGTCCCCAGCAGACTGTTGGGTAGGCTGGGCCCCCCACACAGTAAGTTACTGCATTGTGGGAGATCTTCGGCACCGCCTGTACTCTGCACCCTCCGGCCGCCTGAGGCCCCGCCCGCCCGCGCCCTGTCTCCCCAATTAGGGCTTCGCGCGCCCCGCCTAGCTCTTGACCGGAAGGGGCCCGCTCCCGACCTGCCGACCAAAACGTGTGTGAGCTGTGCGATACAAGCTGTGTGGTGCAATCTACCCTGACCTTCCAGGAGGGCTGAAACATAGCACTCGACTTAAAAATCTATCCCAAAGCTATTCTACGTCTTGGTTTTAGGCTGTTTCGCTCAGTTTTTTAGGTTTTTAGGTTTCCAGTGCTAAAAAATAGCTCTCTGGAAGGTCAGGGTATGGGGTCGCTTCCTTATTCCCTGCTTGGCCGATCGGCGCGGGGCCTCGCACCCCCCCTTCCCCCCCCCCCCCCTTGGTGGACCGGTTCTTGGCCGTCTCTGGGCGCCTGTGTCGGGCAGGCGGGGCCTCTCCCGCAGGATGGACTCTTGCAGGCAGTCGCGCTGCGAAGAGGCCTGGAGCCAGACCCCCTCCCCTCCCCCCCCCCTTCCCGCCCAATGCCGAAGCGCCGAATCAGACCACGTGCACATGCAAGCTTTAAGTCGGGCCTGTCCCCCTACAAGGGGATTTTCAATAAAGAAATAAAAATACCCCCAAAATATTCCAAACAGGTATAAAAACAAAAATTAGTCCCCAGAGAATTGTATTATTATTATTTTTGGATTACGTTTAGGGTATTTTGTATGTTTCGTCGAAAATCCCCCTGTAGGGGGACAGGCCCGACTTAAGCCCAATGCCGAAGCCCGAATCAGAAAACGTGCACATGCAGGCTCTATGTCGGGCCTGCCCCCCTACAGGGGAATTTCCGACGAAAAATTAAAAATACCCCACAAATAGTCCAGCACTAATCCAATACTAGTCCGGGGACTTTTAAACAAGAAAACCAAAAAATAGCCTGACGAAGGACCCAACCATAAGCAGTTGCGGCGACCGCATTCTGGGTCCATCGCTCTATGAGGCCCTCGGTGGAGCTCCCTATGAGGCCACGACCCGTGTGAGGGGTGTGCCGAAATGGGGCGGGGCCGCCATGCGAACCCTGCCACTGGCGCCTTCTGTGGAGCTCCCTATGAGGCTATGAGGCCACGAACCGTGTGAGGGGTGTGCCAAAATGGGGCGGGGTCGTCATACGAACCCTACCACTGGCGCCCTCGGTGGGGCTCCCCTATGGGGCCACGATACCCGTGAGAGGTGCGCCAAAATGGAGAGTGGGGCCGCCATACGAACCCTGCAACTGGCCACCCTCGGTGGAGCTCCCCACGGGCCACGATCCTCGTGAGCGCTTGGGCTCAAGCTTCCACGGGTGGACGCAGGTCTGGAAGCAGGCGCGAGCGCCCTCCTGCCTCTGCAAGCCAGCCCCCCGCGCCGACACGATGGGGTGCTGCATGGCCTCCCGCCAGTCTTTCGACATGGCCTCCCGCCAGTCTTTCGACCTGACGCGGTACACAGACGCCACGAGCCTCTTCGACGCTCTTGCGTTCACCGTGGAGGGCCTTCACCCAGTGCGCTTGGTCCGCATGTCGTGGCTTCTGCAGCAGCGGGGCACGGTCCTGAAGAGGCGCCAGGAGCTGCCAGAGGAGGCGTTCGTGTCCGCCGGCGAGCTGCGGGCCATTTGGGAAGCCAGCGGGCGAGGAGGAGTAGCGGACAAGGTGGCGCCGATCATCACCTTCTCGTTCTGCTGGGACTCACGCGAGCATCCCGACCCCAATGGGGTGCAGCTGAGCTTGGTGATAGACACCCTGGAGCAGGAGCGCCACAAGTACTCCAGAGGAAATGGTTCCTTTGAGGGGTTCAGCGACATGGGCGTCTTCTGGGACTGGCCCTCGCTGCTGCAGGGCGACCCCGACAAGGCCGATGAGGCGAAGGCCGCCGCCCTGCGGCAAGGAAAAACCCAGAAGGACGCGCAGAAGGCCGCGGACGAGGCCAAGCGTACCCCCGCCGAGAAGGCCGCGTTCAAACATGGGCTGCAGGAGACGATGGACCTGTGGCACGCCCACCAAGCCACTACCGTCCTCCTGCTCACCCAGCACCCCCGCGAGCGAGGCAGCGAGCGCGAGTGTGGCTACGACCAGTCGGGCTGGACAACGTACGAGCGTTGCTCCGCGGAGCAGATCAAGAAGGTCTACCGTCATCAGGCGAAGTGGGACGCCGTTGCCGACCTTGGGGGAGGGGCGGGGGTGACGAAGGCCCGGAGGAGGTGGCCGGTGGGCCCGGACGAGTTCGACCGGCTCATCGAGGACAGGTCCTTCACCAACGGCGCGGACCGGGAGGCGGTGAAGGCGCTCTTCCGGCGGATGAGCCGCGCGCAGCTGGGCGGCGTGACGATTCTGGACTTCGAAGGGATGCCGCCCCCGACCCCCGCGCAGGTCGCGGGGCTCGCAGGCTGCCTGCGGCTGTGCGCCCGCCTGGAGAACCTGGACCTGAACAATTGCAACATCGGCGACGACGGCACGCAGGCCCTGTCGAAGGCGCTGCCCTCCATGCCCGGCCTGCGGTACCTGGACCTGGCCAGCAACGGCATCGGCGACGACGGCGCGCAGGCCCTGGCGAAGGCGCTGCCCTCCATGCCCGGCCTGCAGGGGCTGAGCCTGGAAAGCAACGGCATCGGCGACGACGGCGCGCAGGCCCTGAAATCCGCCTGGGGCGACAGATGCGGTGGCTTGTACCTCTGAGCCAGGGGCGAGCCGCACAGGGCGCGGGTGAGAAACGGGAGGGCGCGCGGGAAGGGGAGGACCCAAACGCTACAAGGAGGACCCAAACACGACCAGGAAGCACCCAGACACGACAAGATCGAGACAAATTCACGACAAGTAGCAGAAGCGAAAATGGGAGGCGATCCGCTTTCGACTTCCACTTTCGCCTACCGCTTTCGCTTTCGCCTCCCGCTTTCGCTTTCGTCCCCCACTTTCGCCTTCCTTCGCCTCCCGCTTTCGCTTTCGCCTCCCACTTTCGCCTCCTTTCGCCTCCCGCTGTCGTTTTCGCCTCCCACTTTCGCCTCCCACTTTCGCTTTCCCCTCCCGCTTTCGCCTCCCACTTTCGCCTTCCGCTTTCGCTTTCGCCTCCCGCTTTCGCCTCCCGCTTTCGCTTTCGCCTCCCAATTTCGCCTCCCGCTTTCGCTTTCGCCTCCCGCTTTCGCTTTCCGCTTTCGCTTGCGTCTCTCACTTTCGCAGCATGGGGCCGGTTCGGGTCGATTCGGCAGCGGGCCGCTTCGGTTGTAGCATGTTCGGGTTCGGCGCTATATAGTTCGGTTTGAGCCAGTTCGGTTTTGCTTCGGGACGGTTCAGTTTCGGGCGGTCCGGTTCGGGTGATCGAGAGGTTGGCGCGCAGTGCGTTACAGGAGGGGCATGGGGGTCGAGGTCTGCTTTCTGGAATGGGAGTCTGAAGTCCAGGTCTGGACCTCAACTCCGGATCTCAGGTCCGGGCCCCAGGTCTGGACCTCAGCTCTGGACCTCAGGTCTGGACCTCAGGTCCGGACCTCCGCTCCGGACCTCAAGTCCGGGCCCCAGGTCCGGACTTCAGGTCCGGATCTCAGCTCTGGACCTCAGGTCGGTCCCCTTCGGCGGGCTCGTCGCGGCCCCGCAAGGGCCAGATCCTGAGGCCTGACGCGCATTGATCCGCGCTCTTGGGGCATTGCGCCCGTTCTTCGCCCGCTCGTGGGGCACCGCCGTGGCGACTTGGGCCCAGGTGAGGCCTGCAGACCCCGCAGGGGCGCCCTGGTGCGCGCACAATATACAGTCGAGACGCTAAACTAAGGAACAGTTTGGGTTCGGAAGGGGCTCGATGTTCCTTAGGTTCCTCCAGTGTGGTTCCTCTTGCCCTCCTGGGGCACGGAGGCGCTCACAGGGCCAAGAAGGGGCTTCGTCTCTGATTTAACGTTCCTTCTTTCAGCGGCCCGACTGTAGAAACACAGCAGCTCAAACACATGACGTATAATCGCTTTTTCCCAACCCTCCTTGGTTGGGTATTCGTTTTGAATAGAGCACTGTAGTCGCGTCCCTCCTCCTCCTCCTCCTCCTCCTCCTCCTCCTCCTCCTCCTCCTCCTCCCGCCTCCCGCCTCCTCCTGCCCTCTCTTCGCCGACGATGGGGGCTGCGATCTGCGAAACTGTCGCCACTTTCGAGGGCTGCTGGTGGGTTCTGCGGAGTAAGGCACCGCGCGGACCTGAGCGAGACCTCGCCGTCCCTGGGGTGCTGCGATCTGCGAAACTGTCGCCATTTTCGAGGGCTGCTGGTGGGTCCAGCGGAGTGAGGCACCGCGCGGACCTGAGCGAGACCTCGCCGTTCCAGGGGGGCTGCGATCTGCGAAATTGTCGCCACTTTCGAGGGCTGCTGGGGGGTGCAGCGGAGTGAGGCACCGCGCGGACCTGAGCGAGACCTCGCTGTCCCTGGGATGCTGCGATCTGCGAAACTGTCGCCACTTTCGAGGGCTGCTGGTGGGTCCAGCGGAGTGAGGCACCGCGCGGACCTGAGCGAGACCTCGCCGTCCCTGGGGTGCTGCGATCTGCGAAATTGTCGCCACTTTCGAGGAAGAGGAGGTCTTAACCGTAAGCAGTGGGTTCTTAACCGTAAGCGTGGTACCAGACTAATGTACCAGACTGATGTACCAAGCTAATGTACCAGACTGATGTACCAGGCTAATGCACCACACTGGTGTACCAGGCTAATGTACCAGACTAATGTACCAGACTAATGTACCAGACTAATGTGCCAGACTAATGTACCAGCCTAATGTGCCAGACAAATTTACCAGACTAGCGGTACCAGACAAGCGGTACCAGACTCATGTACCAGACTAGCGGTGCCAGACTCATGTACCAGACTAGCGGTGCCAGACTCATGTACCATTCCAGGCATCAGCATAAGCACGTGTGCTTTTGTCTTCCCAGTTTGGTGCCTCGTTTTGCCGCGAGGTCGGCATCCTGGCCAGATGCCTCGTTCGCGCAGTTTGCGTGGCCCCTGCGGCATGCGGTATGCGTGTTTTTCTGTTGGCGTCGGCGGCGCTCCCAAGGGGGGAAGCGAACCAGGGGGCAGGCCTTCTGCGGAGGCGCGTGGCTTCTCAGGAGCCCCCTGACCTTCTGCTGAGTGTTCCGTGCCTGCGGGGAGAGTTTTTGCTCGATAATCTGCCAGGAGGCCCGAGGCTCTCCGAGCTCTGCGTCGCCCAGCGCGCTCCACCACTCGCAGAGGGCCCGCTCGCAGGCACCCGAGACGCACACGTGCTCGCATCGTCGTGGCAGCGGCTCGTAGAGTCCCCCCCCCCCCCCGCGGCGGCTCCAGGCCACGTGCGAGCAGCTGCCCTGCGCGCAGTGGAGCGCGCCTGTCTTCTCTTCGGGTGTTGCTCGAAGTGCCCCTGGCCCAAGGCACCCCCAGTTTTCCGCTCCATTCTGGAGCCCCTGGGGCCCTCTGGGCCTCGTGAGGGGTGCCCTGGAGGCCGTTCGGGCCTCCCCGAGAATCCTAGGGGATTACCTTGGGCCAGGGGCACTTCTAGCAACACCCGATCTCTGAGAGGGCCCGCCCCTTCTCGCTTCCCCCCCCGGGGGCTCGCCGACGGCGGTCGGCCTGCCAGGGGGGTGGTGCGCCAGCCACGGCGCCTCGCCGCCGTCCCCCCACCTGCTGCCGCCGCTGCGGGGAGCAGCGACCGCCTGGAGCGCGCAGCCCTGCCTCTTATGAAGAAGAAGCAGCGTCGGGGGTGGACAGACCTCCTACCCTGACACGTCGATTAGCGAATTGTTGACGCTTCGCGAATCCCCACCAGCCCATCCTACACCAGGCATTCGAACGAAGAGCGCCGATGATCGGCAGCTGTTCTCCTCCCCTTCTTCCTCCTTCTCCTCCGCCTTCTCGTCCTCCTCTCCTCCTCCTCCCTCTCCTTCTCCTCCTCCTCCTCCTCCTCCTCCTCCTCCTCCTCCGCCTCTTCCTCCTCCCTGGTGGGTCTTGGAGGTATCTTCGAACGTTTTGGTTGGCTCTTGGGCCTTGCGGGCGAGCGGGCGGCGCTCCGCCAGGCTTCGCGCAGGGCCCAAGAGGGGCTCCAAGACGTCTCTTGGAGCCATCTTGGAGGAGATTGATCAACGAAGGGGGGTCCCTCAATTAGGGTTCCCCCCTCAGGAGCCATGATCCTCGTGAGGGGTGTCGAATTTTAGCCCTCCCAGGGGTCGATCTTGGACGCTTTAACGCGACGCGGCCCCCCTGTCCATGTCAGTGGGGAGGGGGTAGGGGGAGGGGTAAACCCCTCCCCGCAGGGGAAGAAGGAGGGGTGGAAGAGGAAACCTTCTAAACCACCGACGCCTAGAGGGCTAGTGGGATTTCGTGGTTCCCCCAGTGGCTCTCTGTGGTTCTCAGTCCACTTAGTGGCTGGGTTCTGCAGGGTTCTCTTGGGGGTTCGTTTTTTCGATGTATAGACTTGTGGAAATATTTCGAAATTGAAAATTATGTGTTCCTTTGAATACCTGGGTTCTTCCAGGGGTTCTCTGTGGTTCTCAGTGCACTCAGTGGCTGGGTTCTGCAGGGTTCTCTTGGGGGTTCTCTTTTTCGATGTATAGAAGGGGGACATGCTGTCGAATTTGAAAAGTATGTTTTTCTTTGAATTTCTGGATTCTCCCGGGGGTTCTCTGTGGTTCTCAGTGCACTCAGTGGCTGGGTTCTGCAGGGTTCTTTTTGGGGTTTTCCTTATTTCATGTATAGAAAGGGGAAATGCTGTCGAATTTGAAAAATAGGTTTTTCTTTGAATTTCTGGATTCTCCCGGGGGTTCTCTGTGGTTCTCAGTGCACTCAGTGGCTGGGTTCTGCAGGGTTCTCTTGGGGGTTCTCTCTTTTTTCGATGTATATAAGGGGGAAATGCTGTCGAATTTCAAAATTAGGTTTTTCTTTGAATTTCTGGATTCTCCCGGGGGTTCTCTGTGGTTCTCAGTGCACTCAGTGGCTGGGTTCTGCAGGGTTCTCTTGGGGGTTATCTTTTTTCCATGTATAGAAGGGGGAAATGCTGTCGAATTTGAAAATTATGTTTTTCTTTGAATTTCTGGGTTCTCCTGGGGGGTCTCTGTGGTTCTCAGTGCACTCAGTGGCTGGGTTCTGCAGGGTTCTCTTGGGGGTTCTCTTTCTTCGATGTATACTGACGAATTTGAAAAGTATGTTTTTCTTTGAATTTCTGGGTTCTTCCGGGGGTTCCCTGTGGTTCTCAGTTCACTCAGTGGCTGGGTTCTGCAGGGTTCTCTTGGGGGTTTTCCTTTTTCGATGTATAGAAGGGGGGGAAATGCTGTCGAAATTAAATAGTATGTTTTTCTTTGAATTTCTGGGTTCTCCCGGGGGTTCTCTGTGGTTCTCAGTGCACTCAGTGGCTGGGTTCTGCAGGGTTCTCTTGGGGGCCTCTTTTGTCGATGTATAGAAGGGGGAAATGTGGTCGAATTTGAAAATTAAGTTTTTCCCCACATCCAAAGTGGGGTTCTTGTTTTCTCTGCACACCCCCGCGCAGGAGAGAGATCTCACTCACCCCCTCTTCTCCTCGCACTCATTCACACACACATCATCATCACTCGCACTCTCTCACACGCTCACGAACATCATCGTCATCATCGGTATCGGCATCATCCTCATTCAAACATCATCATCGCCACCACCACCCACAATCAATCATCATCCTCTTCACCACTCATCTTCACCACCACTCATCATCCTCATCCTCATCATCGTTGAGTAAAGTGTGAGGAAGTCTCAGGCGGGAGCCCCCTCCCTATGGGGCCCGCAGATCATGTTGGTAATCCGAGCGGGTCATCGGAACCCTGTAACTGTCGTCACTTTTGGGCTCCCAGGCCTGAAATGGAGGAAGTCTCAGGCGGGAGCCTCGTCTGTGAGTGAATTGGGAGGAAGTCTCAGGCGGGAGCTCCCTCCCTATGGGGCCCGCAGATCATGTTGGTAATCCGAGCGGGTCATCGGAACCCTGTAACTGTCGTCACTTTTGGGCTCCTCAAGCCTGAATATGGAGGAAGTCTCAGGCGGGAGCCTCGTCTGTGAGTGAATTCTGAGGAAGGCTCAAGCGGGAGCCCCCTCCCTATGGGGCCCGCAGATCATGTTGGTAATCCGAGCGGGTCATCGGAACCCTGTAACTGTCGTCACTTTTGGGCTCGTCAAGCCTGAATTTGGAGGAAGTCTCTGGCGGGAGCCTCGTCTTTGAGTGAATTGTGAAGAAGTCTCAGGCGGGAGCCCCCTCCCTATGGGGCCCGCAGATCATGTTGGTAATCCGAGCGGGTCATCGGAACCCTGTAACTGTCGTCACTTTTGGGCTCCTCAAGCCTGAATATGGAGGAAGTCTCAGGCGGGAGCCTCGTCTGTGAGTGAATTGCGAGGAAGTCTCAGGCGGGAGCCCCCTCCCTATGGGGCCCGCAGATCATGTTGGTAATCCGAGCGGGTCATCGGAACCCTGTAACTGTCGTCACTTTTGGGCTCGTCAAGCCTGAATTTGGAGGAAGTCTCAGGCGGGAGCCTCGTCTGTGAGTGAATTGTGAGGAAGTCTCAGGCGGGAGCTCCCTCCCTATGGGGCCCGCAGATCATGTTGGTAATCCGAGCGGGTCATCGGAACCCTGTAACTGTCGTCACTTTTGGGCTCCTCAAGCCTGAATATGGAGGAAGTCTCAGGCGGGAGCCTCGTCTGTGAGTGAACTGCGAGGAAGTCTCAGGCGGGAGCCCCCTCCCTATGGGGCCCGCAGATCATGTTGGTAATCCGAGCAGGTCATCCAAAACCTGTAACTGTCGTCAATGTTGGGTTCTCGCGCTGCCAGAACGCAGTTCCCAGGCCACACTTTGGATGCAACAAGGAAGTTTTTGGGCTCCTCAGGTCGCCGAGGTGCTGCGACAGGGCGCCGAAGGCGCCGACGACGACGGCCAGGCCGAGGCGCGGGCGCGGAGCTTGCTGATGTTCAGGCCCAGCGAAAGGGAGTTCACATGGCAGAGCTCGGGGGCGCACAGCGTGCGCCGCTCGGGGTTCACCCTGACGCACGCGTCCTACCTGACCTCCACGCTGTCGCAGGGCCAGACGCTGCGCAAGGGCGTCACCATCGACTGCGCGAGAGACGAGGACGCTGGCCGCACGGGCATGTCGGACGAGCAGTGGTGGCTGCACCTCTACGTCATGTTCTCCCGCGCCACGTGCATGCGGAACATGCTGATCCTGCGGCCGCCGCCGCGAGAGTTCCTGGAGTGCGGGCCGCCGGCGTCCCTGCGGAAGGCGCTCCTGGAGTTCGACAAGAGAACGGTTTTGTCCAGGGCGGAGGCGAAGCAGCTCGCGGCAGAGCTGGGCTTTGTGCTGCCTTCCGCCTGAGCGCGGCTGCGCCTCGCTCGAAGCCAGCGGGGTTGTCCCAACGGCTTGGTCTTGCGCGCCAACGGTTCGCGGGGTTGTCCCGACAGCCTGGCCCGCGGGGTTGTCCCAACGGCTGCGCGACGTGACCTGTAGAGAACGCGCCTGTGCTGGCCGTGGCGGCGACGGCGCCGAGGAACATCGACATGCGCGCTCATGCAACAGGAAGGGGAGGAGGTGGCGGGGCGCGGAACAAACAGGGGGGCGAGGATGGGGACAACGTAAGGAGTGGAAGGGGGGCCCGCGCCAAGGCGAGAGGAAATATACGCAGAAGAGACAGCCAGGACGCCTCACCAACCACGAGGACGACGGTGATGGCTTTTTCCAGATTCGCCCAGAGGATTCTTATGTGGGGTTCTTCCGTCGGAGTAATTCTTTGAATTTTTGGGTTCCCCCAGGGGTTCTCTGTGGTTCTCACTCGACTCGGTGGCTGAGTTCCGCAGGGTTCTCGTGAGGCTCTGCGACCTCCCAGAACTCCATTCCCGGGCCACATTTTGAATGCCCGGAGCCAACTGTAGGCCACTTCGTGCTCTTCGACTTCCCAGAACTCCATTCCCGGGACACATTCTGAATGCCCGGAGCCAACTGTAGGCCACTTCGTGGTCTTCGAGTTCCCAGAACTCCATTTCCGGGCCACATTTTGAATGCCCGGAGCCAACTGTAGACCACTTCGTGGTCTTCGAGTTCCCAGAACTCCATTCCCGGGCCACATTTTGAATGCCCGGAGCCAACTGTAGGCCACTTCGTGGCCTTCGAGTTCCCAGAAATTCATTCTTGGGCATGATTGTGAATGCCCGGAGCCAACTGTAGGCCACTTCGGGGCTTTCGAGTTCCCAAATCTCCACTCCCGGGCCACATTTTGAATCCTGAGGCAGGCTGATGCTGAGGCGTGGGCAGGCTGAGGCTGAGGCAGGCTGAGGCCGAAGCTGCAGGCAGACTGAGGCTGAGGCTGAAGCAGGCTGAGGCTGAGGCTGAGGCTGAGGCTGAGGCTGAGGCTGAGGCTGGCAGGCTGAGGCTGAGGCTGAGGCTGATGCAGGCTGAGGCTGAGGCGCGCTGAGGATGAGGCCGAGGCTGAAGGCAGACTGAGGCTGAGGCTGAAGCAGGCTGAGGCTGAGGCTGAGGCTGAGGCAGGCTGAGGCTGAGGCTGAGGCAGGCTGAGGCTGAGGCAGGCTGAGGCTGAGGCTGAGGCTGATGCAGGCTGAGGCTGAGGCAGGCTGAGGCTGAGGCCGAGGAAGGCAGACTGAGGCTGAGGCTGAAGCAGGCTGAGGCTGAGGCTGAGGCAGGCTGAGGCTGAGGCTGAGGCAGGCTGAGGCTGAGGCTGAGGCAGGCTGAGGCTGAGGCTGAGGCTGAGGCTGAGGCCGAGGCTGAAGGCAGACTGATGCTGAGGCTGAAGCTGAGGTGCTGAGGAGGCTGAGGCTGAGGCAGGCTGAGGCTGAGGCTGAGGCAGGCTGATGCTGAGGCAGGCTGAGGCTGAGGCTGAGGCTGATGCAGG